TTTGAGAGGGTAAAAGGTCCTAGATTCAATCATCCTAATGTTGTTCTCGGCAATGTTCAAGTGGGTGAGAAGCGGGTATCTTTCAAACGAAGAGTTTAATAGAGATGACAGATTATTGTTCATTATGCTCAAACCTTCAGTGTCTTCAGGAAGACTTTGAGGGACAGAATCCAAATTTCTGTCATCACAATCGGCTGTCTTAAGCTCAACGCCCTCACGACAGGGCGATCTCTTCAGATCCCAAGGTGTTATGGGAACAGCATCTCCATGCAGCGTTTGGATACAGGAGAAGATGATCAACGGAAGAAGTACATGGTGTTCGAAGGCCATAATGCCGGATTTCGGTTTTCTGTCTGAAAGAAAAACATATAGGGTCAATTTATTTCACTAATTTCTAATATCTTGCGTTTGTTTGCTGTATAGGCGATTGCACCCTCGACAATTTAATATAGCATGCAGGAGTCACATGTTCGTGCGACGTTGGTAGAAGAGCTTCGTGCATGTTGACTTCTAGTTCTTTATCATCGTCATCATCTTATACTACTACTACTACTACTACGACTACTACTACTTCTACTGCTGCTACTGCTGCTGCTGCTTCTACTAATACTAATACTATTACTGCTGCTGCTACTACTATACGAGTACTACTGCTACTAGTACTGCCTCTATACTAGCTACTAATTTTGTCGTTTTGTTTGGGTTCGTATGAGATATTTTTAAGGCTGCAATTTCTAGTTCACTTCGGCTAACTTTAACCTCATAAGCTGACCACACAACGTATTATCAAATGAGGCGACACACTTCGAGAGTAAAATTGTACCATTTCAAATAAGCTGCATGGAGAAGAAGACTCTTGAGCATTTTACCTTAAAGATAAACTTGAGTTCTGGTTAAAAAAAAATGAATCAGTCTCACAGAATCTAACGAAACTTTACTGAATGTTCAAGATTACAAATGAATTTCATGTGTCAAACAATTTTGGAAGAAAATGTATACTGGCTGAGTAATGAGCATAGCAAGATAAGAAAGTCAGGTAGTACTAGCCCGACACCATTTGTGTTGTACCATTTACATCTTTATGTGTACAGTGATTGTTACTTTACCAAGACTGGACCAAATTTATGATGATTTTGATGACTCCAGAACCTTGCATTACACACCAATACTCACATGCTATAACTTTTCTGAACCATTCCACACCTTTTCTTTCACAATGCAATCGCATTACCAGAACTCACCTTTATCTTTAACTTTGCACAACTCCTGTAGTTTGGCGCTCCAGAATAAGATCCCTCGCAATGGATGGTGGGTTTGTAGTTTGGCGCTCCAGAATAAGGTCCCTCGCAATGGATGGTGGGTTTGTAGTTTGACGCTCAAGAATAAGGTCCCTCGCAATGGATGGTGGGTTTGTAGTTTGACGCTCCAGAATAAGATCCCTCGCAATGGATGGTGGGTTTATAGTTTGAAGCTCCAGAATAAGATCCCTCGCAATGGATGGTGGGTTTGTAGTTTGGCGCTCCAGAATAAGATCCCTCGCAATGGATGGTTGGTTTGTAGTTTGGCGCTCCAGAATAAGATCCCTCGCAATGGATGGTGGGTTTGTAGTTTGGCGTTCCAGAATAAGATCCCTCGCAATGGATGGTGAGTTTGTAGTTTGACGCTCCAGAATAAGATCCCTCGCAATGGATGGTGGTTTTGTAGTTTGGCGCTCCAGAATAAGATCCCTCGCAATGGATGGTTGGTTTGTAGTTTGACGCTCCAGAATAAGATCCCTCGCAATGGATGGTGGGTTTGTAGTTTGGCGCTCCAGAATAAGATCCCTCGCAATGGATGGTGGGTTTGTAAATTGGATATGGTTCTGAACATGCACTCCAAACTATTCACGTTTAAATACACATTCTCGGCGAAATGAGATAGAGATCATCTAAATAAGGTGGTATATAATAACTGAAGTGTCTTTTACAAATCATCACTTTCTAAAGCGAAACTGTAAACTTCCACTTAGATTTTATTGATGCCTCCGTCCAGTTTTATCTTTATAATTCAAGGAGGATGATCGACTCTGGTGATGGATGGGGACAAATGGATATCATCTTTAAGATATAAATGTAAGCAGGTAATTTTTCAATCATAATCGCTTTTCTGTCTCAGAAACTGGATCATTGAAAGTCCTTAGTTTTGTATTTCATATTGCCCTCCTCCGTCATTGTCATTCTTTAATGAGTTTTGAAAAAGATGAATAATAATTTTAGCAACTAACTTTGATTTCAGTTTTACAAAACCCTAGGATCAGCTCTAGGGGTTTCACAATTGTCTTTCTCTGTTGTAACTTATTCATCACTTTGTAAAGCGAAACTGTAAACTTCCACTTAGATTTTATTGATGCCTCCGTCCAGTTTTATCTTTATAATTCAAGGAGGATGATCGACTCTGGTGATGGATGGGGACAAATGGATATCATCTTTAAGATATAAATATGAGCAGGTAATTTTTCAATCATAATCGCTTTTCTGTCTCAGAAACTGGATCATTGAAAGTCCTTAGTTTTGTATTTTATATTGCCCTCCTCCGTCATTGTCATTCTTTAATGAGTTTTGAAAAAGATGAATAATAATTTTAGCAACTAACTTTGATTTCAGTTTTACAAAACCCTAGGATCAGCTCTAGGGGTTTCACAATTGTCTTTCTCTGTTGTAACTTATTCATCACTTTGTAAAGCGAAATTGTAAACTTCCACTTAGATTTTATTGATGCCTCTGTCCAGTTTTATCTTAATAATTCAAGGACGATTTTCGGATCTGGTGATGTATGGGGGAAAATGGATATCATCTTTAAGATATAAATGTGGGAAGGTAATTTGTCAATCATAATCGCTTTTCTGTCTGAGAAACTGGATCATTGAAAGTCCTTATAGTGTCGTATTTTCTATTGCCCTCCTCCGTCATTGTCATTCTTTGATTAGTTTTATTAAAAAAAAAGATGAAAAATACTTTTAGCAACTTATTTTGATTTCAGTTTTACAATGACCTAGGACCAGCTCTGGGGGTTTCAAAATTTTCTTTCTCTATTGTAACTAATACATTCATAATTTATCTTTAGATGTTTTACCTCTGACAGTTTTTACCTTTCATTATTTGAAAGATTTAGAAAAGCAAAATGTGCAGCGCAGTCAAGATCGCTTTATATTGGGTTTTCCATTCCTTTATTATAACTTGTCATATCATCAGTCAAATTCGTTTAGGTTATTACGAGCAACTGCAAAAAAAATAAACTCAATTTAACTAACTAAGACAAGACAGATGTGTGTGATTCTTCAGCAAAATGATATTAATTTACTTCAGAAATCAGTGATCAATGAGCAAAATGAGGAAAACGTCAATTTTGGCTGGATTTGTGGTTACGATTTTGTAAAGGAAAGAGGCAACAGAAATATTGAAAAGATGTTGGATTACACGAATTCATGACCAAATCAAGCAGTCGTCGAAATTACATCAATTTTCTACATCAATTTTTTCAAAATATACAAGTTGAACACGGTTTTTTTTATCATGTGCAGAGAATTCAATCTGAACCGGTATTTATGTAAAGACACTGGCACTTATAAGAGCCTTCTATATAGGGGGTTCCAAAAACGCTTCTAAAGTGTGAAATTTTGTGGTTATTAAGACCGGGGGCATCGAAATATATTAGTTTAATTTCCTTCATGATCATTAATTCGCAAACACTTTTCAGGATACCTTCAACTTGCTCCCAATAATCCAGCCTAAAAAGTATTATTTTGATTTTAGAGGAATGGAATGAGCAGTACATCAAAATAAGGGGCAGGGTCAAAAGTGAAAGTTTCGAAAATGCACTGGTGAGCACCGGTGTAGTATTGTTATGCAGTGCTCTGCACAGCAGCCCTACACTTTTTATAAAAAGAAGAATGCACAGCCGAACAAGAGATATGCATTTACAAAATGTTGAAAAGATTCCCCATAAAACCCGGGTACTATGCGTGCTTTTTCGGAATTTTACTTTATGCATACTATTTTCCGAGGTAACTAGCAATGACGTTTGAGCTGTATCTTGAGTGCGATTAAAAATTAACGAACTGAAGACAGATACAGTGATTTCCTCACATGCAACTGAGTCGATTGTACTTTGATGACAAACTTTATTTTGAACAAATTATAACTATTTCCGCTCACAAAATATTGCATCATATAAATCGGCATACGAGATAATAACGATAATATAATACACTGTGAAACATTCTATTAATTATGCCTTATTTTTCATTCATTTCCAGGAAACGCAATAAGTAAAAAGCGCTTGGAAAATTAGTGAAATGCAAATATTCCAACGATGAGCCTAGATTAGTATATACCTACCAGTGTAAGAGCGGACGGGGACAAAGGTAATTTTCGGATGATTTTTCAAAATTAGAATGATACAATTTTCTCATCGGATTTTTGTTCGCTACAGTTTGGGATTTTCAAGTTTCGAATGTGCAACTCTAAAAAGGATAATCGTCGGGTATGTTTGTGATACTTCTGACGTGTCTGATTTGCCCATTAGTTAATTTGAGAAGAAAAATAATAATATAACAACTTATAATCATTCAGAGTAAGCGTTTATATAATGACTAACATTGAAGAAAACTTACAAGCTTATGGGTGAATCAACTTAAAGTATACTCTCCTCCTCCTCCCTCTCTTTCCTTTTTCCTCTCCCTTCTCCGCTTCTCCGCCTCATTATCCACCCTTTCTCATCGTCCTCCTCCTCCTGTTCTGCCTTTGTGCACTCTCCTTCTCCATCTACTTTCTCATCTTCCTCCCCCTTCTCTTCCTTTCTTTACTATCAATTTCCCTCTTTCTTCTCCTCTTCTCCGCCTTAGTTTCCACCTCCCCTCCTCCTCCTCCTCCTCCTCCTCCTCCCCATTTGAAGTCTTCCTCCTCCTGTCATCCGCCTCATTTCCCACCTCTTCTCCTCTTCACCCCTTTCCTCACCTCTCTCTCTCTCTCTCTCTCTCTCTCTCGTATACATTCATCACGATACATTTAGTGAAATCATTCTTAAGCTTATCATCATTTATATCATGATTGCATGTTTAACTTATTATTCCAAATCCCACTGAACTGTAAAGGGCGTCATCATGTCAAGCTGCAGAGCCCGGATGTGAAGTACCTGTCACAGAAAAAGAGAGAGAGAAAGGGAGAGAGAGAGAGAGAGAGAGAGAGTTGAAAGGTTACTTTTCCAAAAAACTTTTTTATATTTAGAACTCAGTTAGTCTACTATGAGAACATTTCCCAACTATTTACTTTAAGTTTCTTTTCCCTTTTTGTCTCTATATTTCCTTTGATTCGTCTATTCTTTCGCTCTCATATTTACATCTCATTGTTTCATACAGGATATCCTATACAAGCAATGCTTAGTTGCACGTACGCCTTCTTGTTTATCATAGACATATCAGCCTGTTGAATTCATTGGGATCTAATTCATACAGGGAAGCAAGGTGGGCCCCTGTTGTAATAATTATTTCAAATTATTTAGTTCACTATGTAGACGTTGCATTACTTGAATATTTTCTTAATTTGGCGAAAATGGAAGAAAATAACTATTATTTTGTATTTAAGTGAATGAAATTAAGAGCAACTTAAAATGGGAAAACTTCAACTAATAGGTTGACGACATTGAAACCAATAACGATAAAACAATCCCTTACCATATCATTTTGTAGAACGATTTTGTTCAAATGTCTATGTTCATTAGATTATTACATTGATATTTGCAGCAGTATGTTATGGATTGTGGCCTACATTTTTTGAGATACACGCATTCCATTGTAAGCTCAGTGTTTTTTTTTTTAAAGGCCCACTGCACTACTTATAGCTACTTGCGCCCTCTATATAGCAAACAATGCCTAATCGGTGACTATTGGTCCCCCATGATCCCCTTTTTCTTATGTTCATTGAGAGCTGATTTGATGAGATAACCACCTATCGGTGACCTTGCAGGGAGGTCTAATCCCTCTTGACCAAACTAGTGCGGACGGGCATTAAGGGTGGTCCATTCTTCCTCACGCATCATAACCATAATTTATAAGTCATCGGTCTGTGGATCACATAATTTGCGGTTTGATCGAGTCCCGCCGACAAACTAAAGTTCTAGCCTTGGCAAGACATTAATCTACATTTGCCACTCTCCATCCAGGTGTAGTAAATGCCTCCCCCCCCCCCCCCCCCACTCAGTGTTATTCAGGGTACGCATATGCTTGTTCCCTCTTTTTGAAAGCATCCCCTATTTGAGGACTGCCAACATTTCCGAACCCCCCTTTCGCGGGCTTTTCGCGGGCTTTTCCTGCCTTGGAGACCCCCCCCCCCCCTAAATTAGGAAAAATGCTCAATGTACCCCCCTAAATTCAGAATAATTTTTCAGGAGTCCAAAGAGATGAGAGAAAAAAAAAAAAACTTTTTAAAGAAATCTCCGGGCGAAAAGTCAAATACACCCCTTTTTTTCAATTCTCGGCCGGACTTTGTCGCACGAAAAGTACCCCTTTACAGGACATTTTGGTAACACGCATGCGGTCATTCCGACCCCGGAGTGGGGGGGGGGGGGAGTAAATGGGTACGTGGTAGGAACTTATCCCTTGAATGCCTTCAGTGATTTAGGGCAGCTGTGCTAAAGCCACTGTACAAGTATTGTAGGCTCGTTGAGAACCCCCTGGTGTGGATTATGTGCAACATTAATGAAGCTATTCAAACATTAAGAACTGCAAAATTGTCCGAAAATCTCAAAAATATTGTAATCATTTATCAAGAAATGTGCCCTTACTTTCGTTTGAGGAGAGTAGTCTACTGCTGTAGCCTTGGACGGTGCTGAGCCGTCTGGATGTATAGTGACGTCACCGTCCACATAATCTGCTACACCATAGACCTTGATGCTATGGAAGTACAGGTCATTCGGATCTGTGTAACCAGCGACATCTACCATCATACGAAGCTCACCCTGAAGATTCGCCTATGGAGTGCGGTAAATAATAAAACAATTGAACATTTTATCTGAGGCTGAATATCAAGATATCAATTCTATTAACTCATTTATGTTTTGTTATATTTTTATGTCAAAGTACATTTTTGGGCATTTGGGAGCCCTGCCCCCCCCCCCCCCCCAACACACACACATACACACACAGTCCGTTTATAGGTAATATAAGCCCCAAAACAACCATTTGCTATGAATTACATGATTTCTTTTCCTAACTTAAAGATTGATATGTATATATTTTACCATATGTAATGGCTCTCGATTGGCTCTCAAGATTTATATGACACTAAACTGTTATTACACTGGATCTTAATTAAACTACCCTAGAAAAACGCAGTGGTGATAACTTACTTTTGTGGCAGTAAATTTTAGTAGACTATACAATCCCCGTTCGTAAGATTCTGTAAGAAGGAAAATATTAAAGAACAGTTAACTTTTTAAAACCCACAAATAAATTTTCTTTTTCTTTCTGACTCCCTCCCTTTCTTTATCTTTCTTTAGTTTTTCTCTGACATATCTCCCTTTAGTCTGTCTGTCTGTCTCTCTCTCTCTCTGTCTCTCTCTCTCTCTATCTATCTATCTATTTGTCTATTTATTTCTCTTCCTCCCCGCCTATTCCCCCCACGCTTTCTCTCCCTCTCACTCTATATCTCCTTCCTTCTCCTTCCCTCTCGCTTTCTCTCTCTCTCTCTCCCTCTCTCTCTCTCTCTCTCTCCCCTTCTCTCCCTTCTCTCTCTCTCTCTCTTTCTCTCTCTCTCTCTCTCAATGCTAGATAAATATACCTCTCTTTTCACCATCATCCCAGAAGAAATCACCCGATGCTTGCATGTTATCATCTAGGGCTACCAGGAGGGCGAGAGGGTTCAAGCGACTGAACAAGAAAGATTGACAAGAAGAAAAAAAGAAAAACAAATTATCTCTTCAGCAATGACACGACATGTCTTTTTTTTCATCTTTTTCTTCTTCTCCTTGATCCACCTTTTCCCTTCTTCTTCCTCTTCCTCTTCTCCTTCTTCTTCTTCGTCTTCTTCTCCTTCTTTTGCTCCTTCTTCTTCTTTTCCTTCTTTTTCTTGTTCTTGTTCTTCTTCTCTTTCTTCTCCTTCTTTTTGTTTAATTCTTCTTCATCATCATCAGGCACGTAGCCACGTGGGGGCACGGGGGGCACGTGCCCCCCAAAAATTTCCAAGATCGGTTGAACTTTTTTAGACTCCTCCCCGGGACGTCGATCGATTACATGTATGCAGTGCTCAAAATACATGGGGGCGGTGGGCGATTCGCCCCCGTGAGCTACATAATCGCCCCCGTCAGGTTGCTCACGGGGGCGATTGCAAAATTAAAAATCGCCCCGGTGGCATTATAAAATAAAGATTATCTTTTCTGTTATAACTTTAACACAATATTGAGTTTCAATTTTCAAACCTTAAACCAATGAAATGGAACTAAGATTAGCGTGCAGAAACATGGTCAGTTTTTCGTTGTCAGCAAATAATGAACCTCGACCAGTAAATCAATATTAGGGACTTTTAGATTTGCACGTTGAGAACGTGGACTGCAACGTGTGACCTCCTTTTAAGGCACTGCCAGTGCTTAAAAGGACGTCACATGTGACTGCCAGTGCCTTAAAAGGAAGTAACACGTCCACGCAAATCTAAAAGTCCCTATTGAGAAGAAGAGGAAGGTGAAGAGAACAAGATGTCGTGGAATGATATGATAACATGGGCAGATCTACGGGGGGGGTTAGGGGGTTTAACCCCCTCCTCCCACCCCACCCCGGCCCCCTTGGGCTGCGGGGGGAGGGGGATGCTTGAGAGGAGGACTACTAATCTATTTTATTTTTTTCAGGGGGCGGGGGGAAGTGAAGCAGATAACCCTAAGTTTTTGGTTGCTGCTTTATATGTACACTGTTGGTCATAATGGTCGAATAATTATTTTTACCCCAGTTAAGGGAAGGATTTTAAAATATTATTTATTTCTAATAGATCTAGATAATGGCATACATTCTCAGATTTTATTGAATATTGATTTGCGAGTGTTTGTTTTGCGTGACTGCTTAATCATATGTGTGCTACTATGCTAATCAGCTAGGGAACCTACGTCCTTAAATCATAATTGACAGTAAAGAGGATTAATGCCTCACATAAGGGCACTATAATATAGCTGATCGACACGATTTTTATCCTGGGGCCTCACAGTAACGAGGCCATTGCTTAGCCCCTGAATCATGACTGTACGCAGTGTTTGCTAGGGTAAAAATTTATTGCATTTTCGACCCCCAACAGGAAAAATTCCTCTGTGTGGCCATGCCTTGAACCATAATGCATGGCCCTACAGAGGAATTTTTTCTGTTGGGGGCCGGGGGAAAATGCAATGAATTTTTGACAATTTATTGCATTTTCGTCTTTTGGGGGGATTTGTGGAAGGGGCCGCCTACCCTAGCAAACACTGCGTACAGTCATGATTCAGGGGCTAAGCAATGGCCTTGTTACTGTGATGCCCCAGGATAAAAATCGTGTCGATCAGCTATATATTAGTGCCCTTTTGTGAGACATTAATCCTCATTACTGTCCATATTGCTCCGATTGTCTCATTTTCGCTCGCGTGAACCATTACGTCTATGCGTGAACATTGCAAGCACAAACCACTGACCTCTACCTCCTGAACGGATCATCGCCCATTCCCATTCACTATACGTTACGTACTAAAATGCTGTAATGTCTGACCGTTCATGAATATTCATGTTTTTGCTAAACTCGGCAAAATGTTTGTTTTTACTAAATGGAAAAATTACGGTGGGGGTTTGGATGAAATGGACATAATGAAATAGGCAGAAGTGATCTATGATAATTCGTGCTTTTTATGTTTCGTGTGCTCGACCTATAATCTTCAAATCGCTTGGTAAACTGAGTCCAAAGTTAGACTTGTTTCACATGTGTATTATAGGCAATGACGAGCTTGCAACCTATTTTGAAAAATTACGGTGGGTGAACTTTCAAAAGTCAATGAAACATGAGGGCTCCAATAAAAGAGCTAGTGATAACGTACGTCGGGGTGGATGTGCTTTTCGTTTAAACAAAAAATGAATTTTTAACGATTTTTAAAAAAAAACGTCCATAGGCTAACATGTTAGGCTGCTGATTCTAATCATGCTCTGACGATAGGGGGCGTTGTTAAATGAGGCTAAACGGAGCCATATGAATTATGACTTAAGGACGTAGGTCCCATAGCTGATAAGCATAGTAGCACACATATGATTAAGCAGTCACGCAAAACAACCACTCTCAAATCAATATTCAATAAAATCTGAAAATGTATGCCATTATCTAGATCTATTAGAAATAAATAATTGTTTTAAATCCTTCCCTAAAGTGGGGTAAAAATAAATATTCCACCATTATGACCAACAGTGTAGTTGATAATGCATGATTAAAATAAAGAGAGAGAGGAGAGAGAGAGAGAGAGAGAGAGAGGGAGAGAGAGAGAGAGAGAGAGAGCCACCATCATTTTGCAATGGTTCAGGGTTCGTGTAATGTACATTTGAAACCATTTCTAAGCGTCTCAACCCTAAAAAAATAACAAAACTATTTTTGAGGAAAAGCATTATACTGAATTAAATATAGAATAAAAGCATTATATTGGATCATACTAATACTGATACGGGCTAAAGACAATGTGGTATTAGTATAGAGGTATTCCAAAATGACATTCTGATAATCAACATTTGTTCTGGTATTATGTATATACGCATAATACAACTGATCTTTATGATTTCTTAACGTGACATAGCTTCTTCTCCCTCTGCAAATAAAAGGATCATACGACAAATAATCATTGTGATTCAAATCGATGCGAGGATTTTTTTTTTGAATAAGCAATGCTTTTCACCAGAATCTTCTTTGTAAAAACGACTTTTACAAATCTCAGCCATGCAAATCTGCCACTGTGTTGTAAGATCTCTTTCAGATTAGGAGAAGTGTATTGTTTAATGAGTATTTTACATTGAATGGAACGTCTCAACTCAGTAAGCATGGCTGAGATTTGTAAAAGTTGTTTTTACAAAGAAGATTCGGGTGAATAGCAGTGCTTATTCAAACAAATATTCGCATAAATTTGAATCACAATCATTATTTGTCGCTTAATCCCTTTTAATGACCTTGTTTTCTTTCTCGTTTGCAAGAGGAGAAGAAGATATGTTACGTTAAAGGTAAAGACCAGTATTGGAAACGCCCCAATTTCAAAAAATGAAATGGAAGCTCTCATTACAAATCATGTGAAAGAATATGTTTTGACTAATACATGATGATAAAAAATTTGCCGGGAAACCGCCTACTAATTCATATATTTGGTAAATTTGTTTCTCTCATGGTCTGTAAGAGATATAGGGTAGTCTCATATACATCTTTCTGTGTATAGTGCTTGTAACTTTACGAAGAATGGGCCAAGTTTCTTATCATTTTGATGATTCCAGAACCTTGCAGATGCTAGATGCTAGATGATCAACCTTTTCTGATCGATTCCACAACATTTCTTTCACAATGCAATCGCATGACCAGAACTGGTCTTTACCTTTAAAGACATCATAAAGATCAGTGTTGTATGCGTATATATTGTATACACAAGCCAGTAACAGCTATGTAGCTTGTAAATTTGTAAGAGGGAAAATGCTGATTGAAATAATAATGATGAAATAGCAAATAATTGAGGAGTATCATAGGTACCAATTCAATGGATATTTGTATAAAAAGAGCCCCCGTCAGTACTAAAAGAGCCCCCGTGAGAAGGCTCACGGGAGCTCTTTTTCTGAGGGAAGAGCCCCCGTGGACAAAAAATTAATTTGAGCCCTGCATGTATGTTCCCCCCCCCCCCAACATCAAACTCTGGCTACGGCCCTGATCATCATCTTTTCTTCTTCTTGATCAATCAAGTTCTGAGAAGATAATTTATCTATAAAGATTTAAGAATAAATCATAATATATTGTCACAAGAAATTCATGAAAAGAAGTAAGAAAATTATTGCAACTTTATGGGCAATAATTTATTATCGATAGTATTTGATCTTTAATGTATCAAGATAATGATAACATGACGCTTCGATGAAACTGGATAAATTATTTCCATCAAAATAGGATTGGAATAATGACTGACAAATACTTATCAAACGATGAAATCTGCTTGAGTGGGGTGGGGGGGGGGGTCTTTACCTAAAGACAGTGGTGTTGGCCGGTTCCTGAAGAGGTAAAATATACCCCCCTCGTACGTGCAGGTTGATGGTGTCCATGGGTGCAGGCAGGGTAGCTACTTGCCCCCTCTCTCTCACCATCTCCTCACCCTGGTATCATGAAGAGAGAAAGAGGGGTGAGAGGGGAGGTAGAGAAGGGGAAAGAATGTTGAGAGAGAATGGGGAGGGAGAATAGTTATGGGGAGAGTGGAGAGAGAGAGAGACACACACACACAGACAGACAGACAGTCAGAGAGATGACAAATAGGTAAGAGGGAGAAGGATATACTTACAGGGAGAGTTAGAGAGAGAGAGAGAGAGAGAGAGAGAGAGAGAGAGAGGTGGGATAAAAAGAAATTTAAAAATTAGATGGAAAGGGCTAAAAAGAAGAAGAGAAAAAAGTAACTCTAATAATCATTTTCACTCGTATTATTACATGCAGCATTCAAACAATAAAAACATCTAACTGTCTTGTACCCTAAAAAAAAGTCACTGCGATAGATTTGAAAGCTCACTGTTGGCCTACCCTACCTGAAATATAATATATGTTTGAGATGATTTTCTATGATAATCTTTTCCAACAGCTTCCTAAATCAATTGATGACGAAAGGACCTCATTGATGTTTGGCTCAACAATATTTCAGCGTAAAATCTTTCGCTATATTTCGGAATTTACAAGCACTGTATCATGTCATTCCTCATTGTTTTAATCAGTAGTCGAAAATCTTATAAAATTGAATTTAAAAAAAAATATCATAATAATATTTACCGTATAATAGTCGTACCAACGAGCATCGCGGGGAATGTAGGCATCAATTTCTGTCACACCCTGTTTTTTCAAATATTATGAAAATATAAAGGTAAACTTTTCGACAAATGGCATTGGAGCGATGTACTGTATACCGTAGTTAAACATAAAAATTCATAATCTTTATTCTTTTCTAAACAAAATTCTGAGTTGTTATCGTTGTGTTTCTATCTTCGTCTCACTCTTTCAATCATGAAGATGTTTGCAGGCTGCTGTTGTGTTTATGTTTTGTTTGTATGCAGTGGTGAATTTATTAAAATTGGGCATAGCCTGCCCGTGCCCCACGTTTAAAACCCAACCCGGTATATTTTAATCATGTGCCCCTATATTGTTAGTCCAGAATCTGGAATCTGGCCGGTTCTTATATTTGTATCTCTATAATATTCCCTACACTCGCTTCAATCCGCCAATGATGGCGTTATCAACGAACTCGTACGCCCTTCCTAAGAACGTAAGATTTTTTTTCACCGGGCGTAGAAATTCGGGGGTCTCGTCATCTTCGGCATGCAGCCAGTAGGGGGAGATAGCGGTGGTGGAAATTATTACAAACTAAATCGGCTAGTTCCTTGACTACTGTACTGTGTTCTTCTGACCACCCCCTTGTCTGTTAATGTTCCTTTGTATTGAATACATGGACAAAGATGTAAGTTTTTTACCTCTTCCAAAACGGCTGATATCATGAAAGATGGCCCCCATAGGAATTGACGGTCAACATCCCAAGTCATGGAATCGGCTGGGAACCTGGATAGAGGATGGTGACAGGAAGGAGGAGGAGGAGAAGGAAGAGGTGGTAGAAAGATGAAGGGGAGAAAGGGTGAAGGAAGGAGAGGGGTGGCGGTGGAAGGGTAACCAATTACGATATTACTTGATTATTTTTTTTGGAAAAAGTTATTTTGAAAGAGTTCTAGGCAAACTGTGAATTCGTGCGACATATTGACTATGAGTACATCCTCAGTTATGCTAAATATTAAATGATAAATACAACGACTTGTGAAGTACTGATCATCATGACTTGTCTAAAACAAAAGTAGGTGCGTTATGTTCTGACCAACTGAAACCAAGTTTCCCACCAATTCTGTGTATAGATGGCCCTGAACCTACTCGTGTTTTTTATTTGTGTTTTTTTTTTTTCTTCATGCTTTATTGATCCTTTTAATTTCAAACGTTATATCACACAGTATTAACATAAATCATGGTAAATCACAATGATGTGAAATGACACACGTCTAACATAAATATAAAGGGAGTTTGTCATGACGAGACTATGTGTCTTTCCCGTGGCCCTACCCGGGGTCAGCCGGATATAATACGACTACAGACGATGCGACCGCATCATCCGCGTGCGTGCAACATATGCGAAACCCAAGCGTGAGGAGAACTTCGGTCTGTTTCGCCAACGCTAGCGCGCACTGACCAAGTTTAGCGCGCGCTGACCCAGTTAATAAAGTCTATTCGTTTGCGTGCAGTTGTCCAAAAGAAGACGTAGACGGCGTTAACCAGTGTTTGCCATGATACACTCCCTTTAAGGGGGAAAAAAAACCTACTCGTTGACGAGCGCCCTCACTACAGTAGAGCTGTCTACATGAGCCTGGTAGAACAGGGTGTAGAGGAATGGTAGAAGCCGGTATCTTTCTGATAGGATGTTCTTCGTCATCTCAACGAACTCCTCGCCGAAGACAGGAGGATGCTGGGGCTGTGGAGGTCGATGATATCGAAAATGAGAGAGAATTCAGTTTAAGACAAATTGACCAGTACTCGTTTTGGAGACAAAAGGGTTTTACAGTATAGCTTCAATTGACTGCAAAGATTGAGCGAGTGGAGGGAGGGAGCGAGAGAGAGAGAGAGAGGGAGAAAGAGAGAAAGAGAGAGGAAAAAAGAGGTGAGATGGAGATGTTTCTTTAAACATTGTTATTATGATAACAATTTAAATAAAACTTGACTGCGTGTTCTGTTACTACACGTACAGAAAAGATGTTTAAGGCAAAGAGAGAAAGAGGGAGAGAGAGAGAGAGAGAGAGAGGAAGAAAGAAAGAGGTGAGATGGAGTGGGCGAGAAATAGATAGCTCTAGAGGGAACTAGAATGATAATGGCATAGCATTAATGAATGGCCACAGTCATCAATAAGACAATTTTGGGGGTTGGAATTCAAACTCCTTTTTTTTTTTAACTAGATGTTTCTGCATTTATTGATAAATCAAATATAAAACATTCAAATAACAATAATAGTATATAATATAATTGATTTACATAAAAGAGTGAAAACTTAAATGCACACAAATACAAATGCATAATTGAAAGCTTGAAAGTATGGAGGTAAGTAAAAAATAAGCAAGATAAATGCAGAGGCCAACTATAATAAGCAAGAATGCTTGAGTCGATAGCAGCCTTTCATCCATTCATTCATAGACTCTTTTTCTGAAAATTTAACATCACAAACCGTTAATATTCGTAAACAGATTCATATTGATTAAACTACATTTAAAATAATTCATTACATTTCAAATTTAAGTGTTAACCAGATGTTGTTGCTTTGTTACGGTCAACATCCTAAACCATGGAATCGGCTGGGAACCTGGATAGAGTGTGGTGACAAGAAGGAGGAGCAGGAGGAGGAGGAAGAGAAAGAGGAGAAATTAGATTTAAATTTATTGATCGTTAATTATTTTACTTACATACCACCCCATAGCATTATGATTCCTAGAATAAGGGTAGAACGCTCCTAACTGGGTCCATCTCCAGCACATCTCATAGGTCGTGTTACCCCAGAAACCGCAGATGTCCGCACCACTCTGAATAAGGCAACAAAAATGATTTCTTAATAAATAATTCGTGGTAGGGTATTCTCAGTTACATTTTATACAGCAGGCTTGCGGGTGCACCATGTGAGAGAGAGGGAGGATTGAGGAGTCCTGAAAAGAACTCTCGGTAATCTTTCTTGAGGGTTTGTAGTCCTGAAAAGGACTGTTTGGTATAGTCTTGAAAAAGAGTGTTGGTTATCTTTCTTAGCTTATAGTTCTAAGGAGAACTATAGCGCTTGGAGAGGATGAGTGGCGGGAGTTACATTTTGTTTTAATGTCAACATTTTTATCATTATTATTGTGTACACGTTCATACAATTTATTGTTATATTTTGTATGTGTTGTATCGCTAAAATGGAATTTGAAGAAAATGTTGCAGAAGAAAATAAATTCAATTCAATTCAAAATATTCTTCGTTTACGGTGGTCACATCTAAGTTATAGAAATCTAATTAAGGCAAGAATAATATATGCTTTATTTATGAAGAACATAATTTAAAACGCTGATATTCATACGTGATCAACAGAACGTGATCAAAAACCGTTTGATAGAGACAGTAGGGAGTTACCTTATTAGTTAAGTCATTACTTCTGAACACAAACTTAGTGCCCTTCTTTCTCTGAACTGAGCTTATTTCAGATTCAGATTTCAGATTTCATTACAGTCACGTAGCGTCGAATAATAAAACACGAAATTTCAATTCAATTCCATTATTCGTCTAATTTAAAAACATACAAATGTTACATGGGATATTTTTTTCTTCACCAAAATTATTATAAACAATACTGTACAGTTTGGAAGGAAATAGTCCAGGTTTTTATTGTTCGTAACACCAACTGTCTTTATATTATTAGCAGCAGCTACTCCTAAGTAATCCGACATTTCCTCCGACGAATACCCCGGGCATTATTTTCGTCAATGATATACGGTTAGGGTAACAATTTGAAGTTAGTTTCGAGTAAATGTTGGTATAGTGTAGTGTGAGATATAGCTTTCGGTACAGGGTTGAATTTAGGAATTCGGTTGATGTATGGCTTTGACCGCAGATCATTATTATTTTGTCGATGGTCCGTGTATCGTAGAACCGCCTTAAAGGCCCACTGCACTACTTGTAGCTACTTGCGCCCTCTATATAACAACCAATGCCTAATCGGTGACCATTGGTCCCCCATGATCCTCTTTTTCTTATGTTAACTGAGAGCTGAGTTCATGAGATAACCACCTGTCCAGTGACCTTGCAGAGCGCTCTAATCCCTCCTGTAAACTATGGCAGATAAGCTTTAAATCATATTCATTAACGATATCATCCGAGAGATTTGAACACTAACAAATTGTTGACCCAAGAACATAGTTGTTATCCTTTTCTGAGATAGATTAGTACAGGTAGCGAAAGACATGACTTACATGCAGGTTTAACTACATTGTTTAGGAAGTAAGATAGCGAAGGAAAAAAAACACATAAAAATTACTCACGTATGGCATTCCAAACATGTTGAATTCCAGCATACCTGACCAAGAAAATTAAAATGTAGATATAAAATTCATATTTCCTTTGTCTTGTTGATATACCACTTTCAAATGTTGGCAATGATGACAATGGTGTATTGTGCTTGTTTCATATTTCAAGTCATACAGTGTAAAAGAACATTGCGATTACAGTCATTAGATTTTTACATTTTTTATGGTTACTTTCTATCACCTTCATGATTAAGAAGTGAATTTTATTTGAAGATGCATTTAATAGCATTTTCTTGCTCTTTTGTACTCATTATCTGTGATAGTTATGGATATGCTAGTTTCTGTTACCATAGCTCTGGTTATGTGTTTCGAGAAGAAATAGTAACTTTTCAGTTATCGACAGAAGAGCACGTTCAACATGCGAAATCGTGATGAATCAAAATCTTAAAGTCCACTTAAAATTTGCCTCCATTGGCAATTATTTTTTAAAATTGCAGTGCTTACTTACTGCCTACTTTGGAGTAAATTAATATTTTAAAAAGTCAAGGTATGAATTTATACAGTAGGCTTGCGGGTGCACCATGTGAGAGAGAGGATAGTCAAGATAGTCAACCTGTTCGAAACGTCGAGCCACTCATCCTCTCCAAGCGCTATAGTTCTCCTTAGAACTATAAGCTGAGAAAGATAACAAACAGTCCTTTTCAGGACTACACACCCCCAAGAAAGATTACCGAGTCAGAGTCCTTAATTTTCAGGACTCCTCAATCCTCTCTCTCTCTCTCCCTCTCTCTCTCTCTCTCTCTCTCTCTCTCTCTCTCTCTCACATGGTGCACCCGCAAGCCTACTGTATATCTACATCACCATGCCAAGCAGCATCTAAGGTATGAATTGTTACATAGGCCCGAATTCACAAAGCAAGGTTTGAGCTCAGACCAAGGTTTGAGCTCAAATCTCCTTTTGTTTCGCCAAACCTCCTTTTGTTCTTTACAAACCAGGTTTGAAAAAAACGCGTAAAACGCGTCATATGACGTACGAAAACCAAGGTTTGTCGACAAACCTCCTTTGTGAATTCGGGCCATAATGTTTGCCGTTTGGTCTACAGCCAGTTCGTCTACTACCCAATTTGTCTATTCCCATATGGTCCACGCCCAGCCCTTCTACTACCCACAAGGTCAAATAACCATTTCGTCGACTTATCATTTGGTCTCATGACCATTTTGGGTAATATCCATTTGGTATATTGCTCATTTAGTCTAATTTCCAGTCGGTTTAATTCCTATTTTGTCTCATGCCCATTTGTCTACTATAGGTCTAATAATCATTTAATGGTTATTATTCTTCATGATTAAATGATTATTAATCCAAAGGACCAAACGGCAATAAACCCGCACGCCTATGCATCTTCTTTACCTGTAATACCCCAATGCAGATGGCCCCAGACACTCTGGTTATCTCCAAGCCAATGATGGGCGGCCTTGCCAGTACCGGCAAAGGTAGAGCGGCTGAATACCAGACTACGCTTCTCAGGGAAAACCGTTTTCAGCGCTCTTGAAGGAAAGAAAGACACGCAATTTGTAACCTGTAAAAATCTTCATTTTTCAAAGTTTGCCTTCAATTATGGATTGTTTTAATTCTTGACAGAATGATGAGTAGGGAACAAAAATGTGTTGGGGCATCCCCCTGGCTATGTCACTCCCCTTTTACTATTTGTGTGCATTATTTTTTTTTCTTAATCAAAACAGAAGTAGTACAAATCAAAACACAGTTAATACAGTTACATCATCCAGAAGTTGAATCGGTTACAAGTCAAAACTAAATTCGTACATTTACTTTTTTCATCCAAAGCAGTATACATAAGAACGCTTTAATACTTACTAGCATTTATGTTTTCTTAGCAGTCAGGTAAAATAACCACCACCATTCATTCAAATTATTCAAACAAAATTGTCTTCTTTTTTTAAAACTCAAACAATGCTGTTCATTAAATGATAATGATAATAATCTTTGAATAAAACATAGTACTAGCCCTGAAGATAGAGAATTATGATTAAATCCAACCAAAATTGTCTTCTTTTTTAAAACTCAAACAATGCTGTTCATTAAATGATAATGATAATAATCTTTGAATAAAACATAGTACTAGCCCTGAAGATAGAGAATTATGATTAAATCCAACCAATGAACAAACAAAAAAACAAAGAAAACAAAAACAAAACAAAACATCAACGACAAAAAACCCAATATGGAACAGTGAAGGCTTACTCGTATGTTCCTACTCCCATCGTGTGACCATAGAGGCTGTGTAGGTTGTAATGGTCACCCGTGCCATGTCGTGCATCCATACATAGAGTCTTGGTAAATATTTTACCTTCATCGATCGTGATTTCTGCAAAACAAAAATGTCATATTGATATCGATGTTTATTTCATTCAAAGACATTAGTTTTATTTAAACTTGCGGCGGGTGGTTACCATGAGCGTATGAAGGAATATTCATGAAAATGTGGGGGGGGGGACACAGGAGGATTAAGAGGGGGTCACGGGGTCCCGATAGCCCCACCCCCTCCCCCCCCCCCCCTCTCTCTCTCTCTCTCTCTCTCTCTCTCTCTCTCTCTCTCTTGATATTTGATGTAAACAAGTAACCCAGAATTCTGATAATCTGTTTTGTCAGAAATTTATTGGGACTCTTTTTCTTCTTCTTAAGCTTTCAAACGGTACGCTGTATCCTATGCTGGGTTCTACCATAGGTTAATATTATTCAAATCAAGTATGCATCATTAAATGAGTAATCATAAAGTAATGGTATAGAAAGAAATTAAAACTAATCTATTCATCCATTATCGTGTAATTTATCTTCCTTTCTTATATTTTTTTATCAACAAATGTTTTGTTTCAAATATCATTTACTCACTTGGTAAATAAGGGGGATAGTTCCATCTATTATTATCACATCCATCTATGGATCCCTTTACGAAATTTGAAGGCTCGTTCATGTCCTAGAGGAGGTTTAAAAATAATGATAGGAATTCATTTGTAACGATCAAGATAACAAGGAAATATTCGTGCAAAAATTATAGCTTATGAAATTATTTTTCTCAGTCATGGCAAAGAAAAATAAAAATAAACAAAGTGGTATATTTGAACATGGACAGAGTTGAGTTTTTAAAATGCACTCCCTAAGGCCATCTATGAAATAAATCCATTTTGTACCCCCCCCCCCCCCCCCCCCGCCCCGACTGTACTCATTTTTACAGATTATTTTAGCCAAAAATATGTAGGGAGACTGTTTTCCACGCTAAAGCTACAGCATTTTTCCACAAATGATTATGAGTGGGATTATTATCAAAAACTAATCTTTCATCATATTTATAATTATAGTTTAATCTTACAACTACGGTATTACGGTATAACATACCCATGTGAGTCTGCTTCCCTTCCGCAACTATTTTCGAACGATCAACTCAAGAGCAATTTCAATATCCTATCGTACATCCCAGAGAAATCATGTTCAGATTACGTAATAAGTCATTGTCATGATCGCACATTTCAATAGGTAACGTACAAGGCTATTGAAATTGCCTAAGGCTGATTTTTCAAAAGCAGTTCCTCTTGTGGTTTTATTGTTTATATGGAATACAATTTTCGTCGTAATGTTATGATTTATAAGAGCATCCTAGCGGTAGACGAGTTTCGTCTCCAGAATAATGATGTTATAATCATTGATTTCATAGCTGGAGAAAAGCATGGGAATTATTTTAAAGGAGACTTACGATCCAGAGCGCATCATATTCAATTTCGTCGTGAAAATCTTTGCAGAGGTCCGTCCAATATTTCTGAGAATTCTCGTTAAAGAAATCGGGATAAACGCTATCTCCTGGCCACACCTGTGCATAAAAAACACACAAGTGAATGATTGACAATTTCTTTGCTTTTTCCTTCTTCTTCTTCTTTCTCCTTCTCTTTCTTCTTCTTCTTCTTCTTCTTCTTCTTCTTCTTCTTCTTCTTCTTCTTCTTCTTCTTCCTCCTCCTCCTCCTCCTACTTCTTGTTCTTGTTTTTGTTCTTGTTCTTCTTGTTCTCCTCCTCCTCCTTCTCCTCATATTTCTTCTTCTTCTTATCCTCCTCCTCCTACTTCTTCTCTTTCTTTTTCTTCTTTTCCTTCTTCTTTACTTTCCTCATTATTCTTATTCTTTTTCTTCGCTGTTGATATAATTGCAATGGGTTCGATAATCGATATAATAATGTCATGTATAATTTTAATCGGCGGACTTAGGCGTTTTTTAGGACATGTACTATCAATTGTATCTTACAAGGCAAACTGTTTGCCATATCCTGATCTTATAAATTGTGATGATAAATGGTGAAATGGTAGGGACTCGACACATCAACGTCTACGTTAACCTTTTCTTTGTTATAAAACAGAGCGAAAAGACTGTCAGCGATGACGACAACAACCGCATCAATAACTACTATAGCAACAACAACACCAACAAATCCTTACGTTTCCGACGATAGGGGCAGATCTGTTTGGATTCAGCACATATACGTTGGGGTCGAGACCACGGTCATAGGCGTGGTATCCCGCTTCCTTCTTTATGATATGATCCTGGATGGGGGGGGGGGAATATAATGTTGAAATAATACATCAAAACTCTTCTTAGAGGTGTCGTAGTCGAGTGGTTTAAGCTCTAGACTTGAAATACAAAGCCCGTGGGTTCGATCACCGACACGGCACTACTGTTCTTTGGCAAGGCATTAATCTACATTTGCCACTCCATACCCAGGAGAGAAATGGGGACCTGGTATGAAATGCGGTGTTATTAATTGCAATAGTGCCCTCACGCTGATCACAATGATATGAATACTTACCAGGGAGTGGAGATGGTGCAAATTGCGCGTGAATGCATCAGATTACCAGGGTAATAATATACAGTATGTAAAGCGCTTAGAGACGGTATTTCGTATTAAGCGCTATAATAAAGACAGATTGTTATTCTTTAAGAGAGAGATAGAGAGAGTGAGAAGGGAAAGAGAGAGAGAGAGAGAAAGAGGGAGAGAGAGAGAGAGAGAGGGGGAGAGAGAGATACAGAGACAGAGAGAGAGAAGGGTTGGTGGAGAGGCGTAGTGGAGGGAGCGAGAAATAAGGAGGTGGAGAAAATTATAGTGAGGGGCGAGAGAGAATGAAGAAATAGGCAGACAGCGAGAAGGGATTGAGGGATGGGCAGGTAACGGGGAGAGAAAACCGAGAGAAAGAAAGGGTGAGAGTAACAGAGAGAGAGGGTGTGAGAGGGAACGAGTCCCCTAGCTGCTCACAAGCATACACATGCTTTCTTAGCAATCACCTATATTAAAACAAACCATCAAACCATCACGGATAGGGCATCAAAATAATAGGGACTTTTAGATTTACACGACGAGAACGTGGACCTCTACGTGTGACATCCTTTTAAGGCAATGTGACGTCACTGCCAGTGCCTTATTAGGATGTCACACGTAGAGGTCCACGTTCTCGTCGTGTAAATCTAAAAGTGCCTAATGACCAATTATGTCGGACTTGACCAATTACTCACGAGAATGATGATGTAATGTTGACCATGATCGTGGACCTGCTGGATGAACTCAGGAAGACCAGCGTAAGCGCCATCCTTGTCGTAGGTAAAGTCTTTCTTTTCCAACATGTAGTCGATGTCGCCATATTGGATGTCCTGTAGCGAGAAAACGGATTTATGACCTAGACCAATAATTATTTAATTTAATTTTTTTTATATTTTCATAATTTCCCCTTTCTTTCCTCCTTTATCGTCAGCATCTTCTTCCTCTTCTTCTTCTTCTTGTTCTTTTTTATCAATAAAGTTCTGAGAAGATATAAACTATTTATATCAAGGACAAATCATAATTGTAACAAGACATTCATGAAAAGAGATAAGAAAAATGAGTCCAACTTTAAGGGCAGCTGCAGTGTATTATCAAAAGACAGAAGAAGAATCAAATAACTTACATAAGGGATCTGCGCCTCGATCATTTCTGACCATACAGTCTTGACCCTGTCCAGCGATCCGTAATCCCATCGACAAAGCTGGAACCCGAGTGACCAGTACGGTACCATTACAGGCCGTCCAATTACCTTTAACAACAGAGATAGGATAAGAAATCAGTGGCGTAGATATGGGGACACGGCAAAGGCGGCCCTCCTGGGGGGCAGGGGGCACAGTCCCCCTACTTTTTCAAGTATACCAAAAGTGGCTCTTTTTACATAGAAGAAGTGCCCCTTTAACTTTGTAAGAAGTGCCCATTTTTTACATAAAAAAGTGCCCCTTTTACTTTGAAAAGTGCCCATTTTACTTTGTTAAGTGCCCCTTCCCCTTTTCATCTCCGATAAGTGCCCCTTTAACTTTGTAAGAAGTGCCCATTTTTACATAGAAAAGGTGCCCCTTTTACTTTTTACCTCTCAATTAAGTGCTCCTTTTTTAATAAGTGTCTTATCCCTCTCGAGAAGTGTCCCCTTTTCCTCTCATCATTAAACGTGCCCCTAATTTCAGACGACTAGGAGCAATTTCCCCCAAACCTCAGTTACTATACTCGCTCGTAGTTATAGATGATATAATTATGTAACTTATCAAAGGTCTTTTCAGTCGTCCGTTAAAGGTACTGTGTCCCTTTTGCAGCCAACCTCAAATGCTGTAGAACTTTGCAGGAATTATGAATATGTCATGTATGTCCTATCTGTGAAATTTAAACGTTAGCAGTGTCCTCATATTCAAATTATGCAAGGAAACCTGTTTACTTGCTAGACTTCACTGTCAGACACTATTGAGTGACTGACTGGCTTTTTTCTTCTTTGGTAATAACATACATGAAAAGAGTTGTAAAGGGTACATGAGCATTTGTCTACATCAATAACCCACTTCTTGTGATGGCCAAGATTAAACTGATTGAATCTTTGCGCAGTATAAAACGTATGACCATTCGGTACAATTGTCTGAAAATCAAGACTATTACTTTGGGGCTCTATAGCCCTAAAGTCAATTTGACAACTAATAGTCCTTACTTTCCCACTTGAAGACATTTTCAAGCCCCACCTTTTTTAGGGAAGTTCTAAATTAGTATTATCTTTCAAATGCAGTTGGAATTTAACTTTTTCATTTTTTTGGCCTGCAAATGGGACATAGTACCTTTAAGATAATGTGTTTATAATTTGAAATACCTCTCCATATTGACTAATGACATTTTCAGGGGTGGGGCCTAAAAACACGTAGAAATCAAGGACGCCGCCTATTGTTCGGTATGTCAAAGCAGGTGTGGGTTGAAGGGCAACCTCTGTAAAAAGATAATTAAAACAAATTAAACCAAAAAGTAAATCAAATGAAAGTACAAGAACATGAAAAGGTTTCACCAATCTAGAAGACTGCTTGATTACAGAATGAGAATATGTTCAAAGAATATTTCGTCTTCAAAAGAACCACGTCAACCCTTGTCCCTTGCGACATTTTAAATAAAATCATATTGATTATATATCACAAAATCCCTCTGATCATACTTTCCAAATCATATGAAGCAAGTACATATCATATAAAATCGAATTTTGTATATTTCTTCGGTAAAAATTTCAAATTAGATCATGTCAAATGACCGTGAAACACAGGGGCGGATCCAGCCGGCGGCAAGAGGGGGGGGGCCCAAATCTTGAGAAAATATTTAGCGGCGAATCAGCCAGCTGGCGAACGGCGAATGAGCGGGGGGGTGGATAAGAGCACATATATTGTTTTTTGGGGGAGATCCAGTTTTTTTGGAATATTTTTGCGCCTACTCAGCCGGCCGGTGAATATTAAAGCGGGGGGGGGGGGGGGGGGGGGGGTGTTGGAGAGGGGGACCACTAATTTTTTTTTTCGGGGGGGGGTGAAGCTCCGTTTTAGCATGACTATCTTTTTAACTCTCACTTTCACCTACCCCAGATAACCCTAAGTTTTTTTGTTGCTGCTTTTATATGTAGTTGATAATGTATGATTAAAATAAATACAGAGAGAGAACCACCATCATTATGCAATGGTTCAGGGTTTGTATAATGTACATTTTGAAACCATTTCTTAGCGTCTCAACCCTAAAAAAAAATAGCGAAACTATTTTTGAGGAAAAGCATTATACTGAACTGAATAAAGAATAATAACTTTATATTGGCTCTTACTAATACTGATATGGGCTAAAGATAATGTGGTATCGGCACAGTAAGATCTGGTATTTGTATTGAGGTATTCCAAAATGACATTCTGATAATCAACATTTTGTTCTGTTATTATATGTAATATACATGTACGCATAATACAACTGATCTTTATGATTTATTAACGTGACATAGCTTCTTCTCCCCCTGCAAACAAAAAAGAAAACAAGGTTATTTAATAAAAGGCTCATGCGACAAAATGATCATTGTGATTCAAATGGATGCAAGGATTTTTTTGAATAAGCAATGCTTTTCCCCAGAATCTTCTTTGTAAAAACGACTTTTACAAATCTCAGCCATGCAATTCTGCCATTGTGTTGTAAGATCACTTTCAGATTAGGAGAAGTGTATTCTTTAATGAGTATTTCAAATTGAATGGAACGTCTCATCTCAGTAAGTATGGCTGAGATTTGTAAAAAGTTGTTTTTACAAAGAAGAGTCTGGTGAATAGCAGTGCTTATTCAAACAAATATACCCATCAATTTGAATCACAATCATTATTTGTCGCTTAATCCCTTTTAATGACCTTGTTTTCTTTCTCGTTTGCAAGGGGAGAAGAAGATATGTCACGTTAAAGACATCAGAAATATCAGTGTTGTATGCGTATACACAGGCCCCGCGGAACGTTTATCAAAGTTGGGGGCTAAAGTATTTACGATCAGGTAGAGGGTAGCGAGCGTAAATTGGTGTGGGGCGTTCAGGGGGCGGAAACCCCGGAAGCTCAGGAGTTTTAGGCATTTAATTACGGTCAGAGAAGCACAAATATTTTGATGCCGCATTTATGTCACTGGCAGGTCAGGGGGCGGGGCGTTTTTTTGGTGTTTTCTTAAAGGTAAAATTTACGTTACTATCCTATTTTTGTACCGGTTTGGGAGGCTAGGGGGGGGGGGCGGTAGAATCGGCCCGTGGATCCGCGCCTGGTGTAACATGACATCAAAATGAAATCAGATCTAATCAAATCGAGCGTGATCACGTCAGATCTATTCGATTGATGTAATAAACTTAAGCTCTTATATTTTATTAAATCATGTTAAATCGCATAGCAACAAATGTTAATCATAATCATATAATATCAAATCAGAATCATACAAACGGTATCAATCAAATCAAATCAAATCAAATCAAATCATAATCAAATCAAAACAAATCAAATCAAATCAAATCAAATCATATCATATCAAATCAAATCAAATCAAATCAAATCAAATCATATCATATCAAATCAAATCAAATCAAATCAAATCAAATCAAATCATATCAAATCAAATCATATCATATCAAATCAAATCAAATCAAATCATATCAAATCATATCATATCAAATCATATCATATCATATCAAATCAAATCATATCATATCAAATCGAATAAAGTCAAATCAGATATTGATATTACCCATGGCGTTGCTATTGACGAAAAAAACTCCGTGTGTATTTCCATCCTCCTCTACCACCATGTGGAACGGATGCGCTCCGTACAAGTTATCATCTCCCTGCCAATTATGACGTCATAATAGAAGATAGTTAAACGAGGGTACAATAACACAAATGGATCCGGGTATACGGTAATGTATAGTGCGTCCCAGAAAAAACGAAACCGAGAATTATCGATGTTTTATCATAACTTAATCACAGTTATAATTAATAAATGACACATATTTGCAGTCAAATAGTCATAATGCAAACTGCATATATTATGTATTGTCAGGCAGAGAAAAACGTGATGATTGTCCTACCTAGCAACAAATACTGTATGCAATTCGCATTCTGACTATTGAGACAATAACTTGTAACAGGTGATTTGAATTGTTTGTAATTGAGGTACTTCACTGAGACATATGCCTTGAATTTGATTACTTTACAAAAATAGCCTATTGGGTTCGCTTTCTGTAGTTACACTTTTATAGGAATAATATTGTAACGAAATCGTTATTTACATTACCTAGCCTTTAGAGGGCGTTGTAATTGTTTATTGTTATTGTAGATGTCGCCATGGTTACGTCGCGCACTGCGATGCGCGTACGTGGGGTGAATCTTGTGGGCAGTCTGTGTTGAGCTGCCGTAGAAGGAAGTTGTGCCTTAATTTGTTTGGAAGTTCAGATTATTAAAGTTCTTGGAAACATTACTTGATCTGTAAGTGCATATTATTTCCTGTGTTGGTAACTTAATTTAGTTAAGTGATTGTAAGCTGATCTGAGAGTGTCTGTTGCACAATATATTTTTGTGAGAACGTCGAGTACAGAGAAAGAGCGGGTTCTGACTGAAGAAGTGACGCTACCCAGAGAGTGAGAGACCCGTTTTCGTTACATTGGTGGCTAGCGGTGGGATTAAAACAGACACGAGACACGGTACTCGATCAGCATACGGCAGAGCTGATTATCAAAAATAAGGTTAATCGAGCATTAGCTCGACACGGCAACTCCTCACCGGCTTCAACACGGTGGTCTATAGCACCTCACCGCTACAACACGGCGGTCTATAGCGCCTCACCGCTTCAACACAGCGTTCTATAGCACCTCACCGCTACAACACGGCAGTCTATAGCACCTCACTGCTTCAACACAGTGGTCTATAGCACCTCACCGCTTCAACAAAGCGCTCTATAGCACCTCACTGCTTCAACACAGCGCTCTATAGCACCTCACCGCTACAACACGGTGGTCTATAGCACCTCACCGCTTCAACACAGCGCTCTATAGCACCTCACCGCTACAACACGGCGGTCTATAGCGCCTCACCGCTACAACACGGCAGTCTATAGCACCTCACTGCTTCGACATGGTGGTCTATAGCGCCTCACCGCTTCAACACAGCGTTCTATAGCACCTCACCGCTACAACACAGCGTTCTATAGCACCTCACTGCTTCAACACAGCGCTCTATAGCACCTCACTGCTTCAACACGGTGGTCTATAGCGCCTCACCGCTACAACACAGCGCTCTATAGCACCTCACTGCTACGACATAGGGCTGATAGCGCCTCATCGCTTCAACACATCACTCTGTGGCGCCTCCACACAACAACGACGCAGAAAGCATCAGTGTTTGGAAGAAACATTGTGGTATGGCTTCTCAGAGACTGACTATAGAGGACGAGGTAGAAGTCCTTGCAGCAGAAGTGCAGCGAGGCGACGAAGATCTACGTCGGTCCAAGACAGAGATTCAGTCATTATTAGAACAGAATGAGCTTCTCAGACTGCAGGTAAGAAGGCTGCATATCGATCAGTCTCCTGTAAGTTTTCCTAACCAGTCCCAGAGTGGAACGCCACCCACTGCTGGTAGACGGGAACATGAGTCAACGGAGACTCATGCGACCACAATGAATGATAACTTGCTGGTCAATCCCAAGGGACCTGAATCACCAATGCATGGATGCCTAGAGGATCAAACGCAAGTGAAGGTGGCACACGAGCAGACTGCAGCTGCTGAGGCGAAGGAACTTCATGCTGCACAGTGGTCTCCAAGTAAAACATCAACAGCCGTTCGTCGGGCAGATGGGCTACGAACAGGCTTCTTACATAGGCAAGATTTGGATGCTTCAGATGTTCTTGCATCAATTCCTCACTACCAGCGACACAGGAGCGAAGTTCCAGGGGTACGGTCACCTGTTACACTGTCTAAGCCAAATGTATCGCCCGACAAATTCGATGGGAGGACACCTTGGAGGGATTACCTCAGCCATTTTGAAGCCTGCAAGGTCGCCAATAACTGGGGTGATGACCAGGCAAAGGTTTTCCTAGCAGCAAGTCTGCGGGGATCAGCACTGAAGATCTTGGGCAGCAAGGCAGCTGACACTTCTCGGATCGCATACCAAGACCTGGTAGTTCTTCTAGAGAAGAGATTTGGCCCAGGCCAGTTGGCAGAGAACTTCCTCCTTGAACTGCGTTACAGACGCCAAGGGCCCAGAGAGACCCTCCAGGAACTGGGTCAGGCCATACGGGAGTTATCCATGTTGGCATACCCGGAACTTACTGAAGAAGCCCAGGATCGGTTGGCAAGGACACACTTTGCAGAGGCGATTGAGGACCAATCCATCCGGGAAGGGGTCTTTCGATCTAAGCCAACAACTATGGATGAAGCCATCCAGGCGGCCTTGGCAACTGATAATTTTTTCAGACTCGAGGAACAACGGTCTGGCAGGAGGCAGAAGCAGGCAAGGGCCGTTGACACTGATTCAGCAGCTACGATCAATGAAATCTGGAGAGAGCTGAAGAGAATAGATGAGAGAATTGCCAAACAGGAACGACCCATCAAGTCAGAAGAATTCAGACGGGAGAGACCCAACTCGTACAGGCGGAGAACACCAACAGCCACAGATGAATGCTACGAGTGTCATGAGAAGGGGCATTTTAGGCGTAACTGCCCTCACGCAAGAGAATACAGGAGGCCTTCGGGAAACGAGGCTCAGCCAACCCAGAGGCCCGAGGGGAGGCTGGACGGACACCAGGGCATGTAACTGACACACCTCCATCTCCTCGAGAATATCCTTCAAGGAATTACATATCTGATAAAGCACGACGTGGTCTTTTTGCTGAAGTGGAGATAAGGGGAATCAAAGCAAGGTTGTTGGTAGATTCAGGTGCCACCGATACTATTTTATCTTCATCCGTGTACTATCGGATACATTCAACTAATAGGCCAGACTTGACAGAAGTGGGAGTTCGCAATGCAGATGGCAGTAGCATGGAAACGCTAGGTAGTGCATGGTTGGAGCTTGGTGTAGGAACATGCATCTTTCCACTAGAAGTAGTCTTCGGCAATACCGACCAGGTAGACGGGCTACTTGGGCTGGACTTCATGGAACCAAATGGGTGTATTATCGATCTGAAGACAAAGGAACTGCGGCTCAAGGGAGAGAAAATCAAATGTACGGATGCACGAGGAGTTTCATTTAGCTCCAGAGTATTGATAGGGGCAACTACAAGGGTGCCACCAGGTCATGAGGTTATTGTTCCAGGCTACACGACAGGGCTGCAAGATGGGACAGGTCTAGGTCTCATTGAACCTGCGGAGAGTAGCGAGCTCCTGAACAAAGGCATCATCGTTGCACGGGTAGTTGTAGAAAGGACGGAAACAACCCTCCCTGTTCGAGTCTTCAACCCAGGAAAGAAGGCATGCGTAATTCGCAGAGGTACACTTGCCGGCCATCTAACACCCATCAGCGGGGAGGACATTGAAGAAATTCCAGGCCAACCTTTACCAATAACCGATAATCATACAGTCCCAGACCATCTCGTAGATCTCTTTGAAAGAAGCAAGAGAGGGATAGACAAGGTCTTCCATGACAGAATTGCCAAGCTACTGTGCGAGAACCAAGACATTTTCGCAATTTCGGACTCAGACATTGGAAAGACTGGCCTTGTCAAACATCACATCAACACAGGGGATAGTCTTCCAATCAGACAAAGGCCCCGTAGGTTTCCACCCAAGGAGCAGGAAGAGATTGATCGTCAAATCCAAGACATGCTTGAACATGACAGAATAGAGCCCTCAGACAGCCCTTGGTCATCCAATGTTGTTCTCGTAAAGAAAAAAAACGGGTCAAAAAGGTTTTGCGTGGATTATCGTCGTCTGAATCACTTGACAATCAAGGACAGCTACCCAATACCTCGCATTGATGATTCGCTGGACGCACTTGGAGGTGCAAAATGGTTTTCTACTTTGGACCTGGCCTCAGGATATTGGCAGGTCGAGCTAGATGAAGAAGCCAAAAAGAAATCAGCTTTCGTTATTCGAGGAGGGCTATACAGCTGGAAAGTGATGCCCTTCGGGCTATGCAACGCCCCATCCACCTTTGAGAGGCTGATGGAGCAGGTCCTGTCCGGACTGCATTGGGAAGTACTCTTGGTTTACTTGGACGATGTCATTGTATTCGCCAAAACAATCGACGAAGAACTAACTAGACTGGGGATGGTCTTCCAACGTCTTCGGAAAGCAGGATTGAAGCTCAAAGCAAAGAAATGTCACCTATTTCGGGAGAGTGTCTTGTATCTGGGACATGTAGTGTCCAGGGAAGGAGTGTCCACAGACCCAGAAAAGATAAGAGCTGTCAAGGAGTGGCCAACCCCTACTAGTGTAAAGGACGTCCAGAGTTTCTTAGGACTGGCCTCGTACTATAGGAGGTTTATTGAAGGATTTGCCAATATCGCCCGGCCACTACATCGGCTAACCGAGAAAGCCCACACCTTCGTATGGACTGAGGAATGTGAAGATGCCTTCCAGGAACTCAAGAAGCGGCTGTACCAATCGCCTATCTTAGCATACCCAGACCCAGAACAGGATTATATCCTGGATACGGATGCTAGTAATGAGGGGATAGGGGCTGTCCTATCTCAAGTGGTAGATGGAAAGGAACGAGTCATATCATATGCTAGCAGAGCTCTGAACAAAGCAGAGAAGAACTATTGCGTTACCAGAAAGGAGTTGCTCGCCGTCGTAGAATTTTTGAAGAAATTCCGACAGTACTTGTATGGGCAGAAAACTACGGTCAGGA